CGGAGGGTTGAGGTGTTGGCCTCCTATTCATGAAGGCTTGGGCGCAATCGCGAATTGTCGCAGTGTTGACCCTCACGTTCGTGCGGTAGTGTCTGCGTTCGCGAAGGGAAATGGTGATCAACCTTTGTGTTCGTGGATTAGGGGTTGCATTCTTGGAAATCATGTAACCTGGGAGGAAACTTATTTTCCAAAATAAGGGTTTCTTCTCCATTTTCCGTTTTTGAACTTTGAGAACTCTAGAGTGGCGATTTGAAAGAGGTTTACCAAGATAAAATATTGGGTAAGTGATTTCAACCCTAATCCTCCATTACTCATTTATTTCTTCATAATTTTAGGGTACTTGTGTTCGATATTATTTTACTTAGGGTCAAATAGAGATGCTTGCTGAGTACTATTGTTATTAGGTACTCACTCCCTTACTTTCTACATTGTGTAGGTTATGATCTTAGATTTCCATGATCATTCCTCCTACATCTTCATTTGAGGCACACTTTTTGAGTTCGTGAGGTAGTTATTAGTCATCTCGACAGACATCACATAGCTCTTGATTATGTCTTTCTAATATTCTAGTATTGTAGACATTCAGACTTATGTTTTCTTCAAAATGTATTTCATTAGTGGTTGAACATGTGACAACATGTTTTGGGGAAGGTTATGTCATATTATGAGTTACACATACTTATGTAATGTTTAGCTCTTAATTTATTTATTTCTTCCTCATGTACCATTGTTGAAGGTTATTTAAGCTAACCTAATTTGGTGGGATAAGACAGGTGCCATCATGTTCGGTTTTTAGGTCATGATAAATGGTATCAAAGCCCCAGGTTCATGAGTCCCATGTATGTATAAGCCAAGGCTAGTAAAGTCTCGAGGATCGGCGTAAAGAGGTTCGTTACTTATCTTCGAAAGGATATGAAGACTTTTAGAAAGCTTCTTTTTTTCTTATTCATTCTCATTGTGCGTGGTTATTTTCGCTAGTACAAAATTGTCGCTTGTTCTTTTGAGAAATGGCTAGGACGAGATATACTGCGATTGGTAAAGGAGGGGAGGTAATCCCCGAGAATGGTATTGAGACCCCCAACTAGGGGTAGAGGTAGAGCTCGAGTGAGGGAGAAAGGTCGTGCCCGAGGGCTGGCACCAACTAGAGGCCATAGTAGAGGTGCCTCTCCCGTGCCAGAGTTGGATGCTGGAGGGGACCAAGTGTAACACCCCAAATTTTTTTTGAACTAAGATCCGAACCATCCTTCCTTGTAAGTAGGATTTTATCGAGGAATTTAAAATTTCTTGAGTGTTAAGGTCACTAGATGTAGCACCTTGAGTTCCAAGAAGAACTAAAGAGAGTTCATTCAAGTCATTCCTAAGTTTCTTTAAGTTTTGGGTCAACTTCAAAGGACCATAACCTTTAGTGTATGATGAGTTAGGTGGGCTACAAGATATCAAATGAAAGCTCTTGGGATTCTCTTTCCAACTCCACCTAGTTTGCTAAATTTTGAGCTCGTATGAGGGAAATATGCCCATTTAAAGTCGGGTTGTCCATTTAAGGAAAGTTACTCGGATTTAAGAGGGGTATTTTGGTATTTTCCTTACCCCCGTCACACCCCTTTTTTTGACACGAAAATGATTTTTCCAATTTAAGTGACGGTATTGATTAGGAATTATTTTATTTTTTCTTTCAGAGTCGCCACTTGGAATTGAGTTATGGTGTTCCAAGTCACATTTTTTTTTAGTCCCTAATCAAAGGAAATGACTCTTTATTATGGTCTGCGAACTAGAAATTCGGGTAAGGAATTATGTTGACCGAGGGAAAAGTATTAGACATATCTCGAGTCTCATGGTTCTAGCACGATCGCTTTTATTGACTTATACTTATTTTAACTATTTTTGGATATATTATTTTCAGGCCATGACTTGTTGAGATTTTTATCGTTGAACTTTTATTTGGTCTCAACCTAGATTCGTAACCGCATTCTTGGTTTTGATCTTTAATAGCTTCGAATCATAACTGCTTTATTCTCTCGAGTGTGTTACCTAATATTCTATGTCTCACATCTTGATTTTAATTAAATAAAATATTTGTTAGAATAATTTTACCAAAATGTGTGTCACCACATCCTTGAAATTTTTTAAATGTTTTAAAAAAGATGTGTAACCACATTCTTAATTGAAACAATTTTCTTTTTAATGTGTCTAAAATTATGTCTAACGTTAAAAGAAAACATTTATTCCTTATAAAGACAAAATCAAATAAAGTAAAATAAATCTACACTTCTAGAATACAATATGAAATTTTGGATTATTTCTATATATTTTTTTATTACTTCACAAGTTAAAGTCAAAATTAGCACACACTTTTTAATCCAACAAAATAATAAAGAATTATAAAATATTTCTTATTTTTTGTTTGATAAAATAAAAATGACTATAATTTATTTACTTATTTTAGCCTAACAATTCCTAGTTTATCATTATTATCTAAATCAAGGCAAGAACAACACCATGACCGTTCATTTCTAAGAGGTCACAACTAACGAATAAAAATAAATAAATAAAAAATAATCATCGATTAAAGGTATCTTTATTCATGAAATAGAGATATAACAACTAACAAATTAATCGTTTCAATCAAATTAATGAATAAAACAAAATCGGGGCAAAAAACTTAAGTATATGACTTAATAACTTTAATTACACGAATATAGCAGTACTTTTTTTTCAAAACTGAAATTCTTATTAAAATAATAATAAAAAAAAAACGTTTACCAAGTCAGCCACAATTATCCATATTCCTTAAATTTCTCCAATTATTTTACCTTTCCTGATTTACTCCAATTTGTTATATATCATATCCCATAAAGAAAAGTTTCCTACAAAAATAAAACTTATGTTCCAAACTAAGATCGACGATCGAATATGCAGACCAATAATTTTTCAATTCTAATTCATCACAACGGGCGTTGGGACTCATCAGGTAATCTTTTTGGTAGTAATTCCTTTGGTTTTGTCGAATCTGGTGGAATATACATTCTTAAGATTTTGGTTAATGTTCTGGTGCAACGGTAAATGTATAACTATTAAATATATATTAAGATTTAGCAATTGTTTGTGGAATATTAATAGGATTTTCACATAATCTGCGTTTTAATTCTTTTTGGTATTTATTCGTTGTTTTATATTAACAATTTTGGTGTAATACAACAACATCATATGATTTTGGTTGTAATCTGATGTGCCGAATAAGTTTTTTTAATAAAAAAATTAGGTTAAATTGATTAAAGCACCAAGTTAATATAAAATCATTAATTAAGTTGTTTAATTGGTATGATGCATGCCGAATGTTAACAGATTTTTATCAATAGTTTTTTTTGGTATATGATATGGTGTACACATACCAACTTCAAGTTCATATTTTTGTGTATTTAGTTGTATTATTTGGTATATAAACTATAACTTTAAAAAAAAAATTCGGTTAATTTTTTGGTGTATTTTATTTATCTAAATTGGTGTAGATAATAATTTGAAAATTGGTCATATGTGATCTGGTACTTAATCTGGTATAATTGTTTCTATAAATTGGTGGTAAATTAATACTCTGATAAATGTGTTGGTGTATTTTTAGGTTAAATATTAGATTACTATTGGTACGTCGATTGGTGTAATACATTGTATGATTTAACTAATTGTGTGAATTACCACAAATTGGTTTAGGTATGTGATGTGGTATTTATGTTGGTATATTTGTTTCTAGTAAATGACACCAAAATAATACTATGATGTATGAGTTGGTGTATTTATTGGTCTAATATATAATATCATAATTTCAAAATACGTAATAAATTATTGATGTATGAGTTGTTGTATTTATTGGTGTAATAAATTATTTGGTGTAATTGATGGTGAAAATTGAGGTGAAAATTTTGGTGAAAACATTGGTGCACATTTTGGCAATTACTAAAGTATATCGATAACTGTCTTATATACCATCGAATGCCAATGTAACTACCAAATTGTTTAAATTGATGAGTGTATAAAATTCATTCTGCAATTTTTTAAAAATTTATTAATAATTTGAAATTTCTACAGGTAATTACGTGGATTACGAAATTGAAGGAGTGATGTATGATGCAAACACCAAATACGAAGGTTTGATTACTACTATATTTTCACAATTGGGTGTGGACACGACCATTTATTATTTGGAACTCAAATATTTCGTGACTGGTCCGTCACCACCAATGAAGATTCATAACGATATGGGTGTATATAATTCCAGCCTAAAACAAAAATAATTTTAGTGAAACTACTTAATGTGAAAAACTTGGTTACCAGAAATAATATACTATGTTAATGTAAAACGTTGATTAACAATTGTAAAATATCCCCAGATATTGGTAAAAATATAGGAATAATGAATAAAGGTGTGTTAATAAATTGGTTTGATCTGAAACCAATATATGGTAAAATAGTCACGCAATTGGTAAACATATAGGCATGTAATAATGGTTGTGTGTAGAAATCATATGTTTACTTTATATACCAACATAAAACAATAAATTGGAAAGAAACTAGTTTAGGTTAAAATCATGGTTTGAATGATAGCAGAAAAAACACACTATGTTAATGTAAAAAAATTGGTTTACTTGAACTAAAAACTACACAAAACTTGGTAAAACGTAATGGTATATATACCAAACTAAACATTGTATGAAATCAAATAGCATATATAAAAAAGATTTGATAATGCTAAAACCAATTGTCATAATATTGGTTGTATAAAGTAATTCAACTGTTTGAGTTATATACCAACCTATAACGGTATATTGTAAAAAATTATAAAAGGTTACTATTTTGGTTTGGACTGTTACCATAATTACCACATTCTGTTCATGTAAAAAAAAATTGGTTTATATATGGTAAAAAAAAGGCACAAATATATGGTGAGGCCTCTGGTTAATTCGAATGAAAAACGATTAAGTGAAAAAGATGTAAGGTTTAAGAGATATAAATAATTAAAATTGAAGGGTTAACTCAATATACCGCTGAAAAAAGGATTCTTAATATTTCTAGGAAATAACTCAGTTATCAATAACTGTACCAATTTTATTGGTACCATTAAAATCTTTAAATAAAAGGAATAAATCAATATGAACAAAAAAATGACTACAAAACATAAAAAGGAAAATAAAAAAATAATGAATCGAGTGAAAAGGGATTTGTAATATTTCTTGGAACTATAACTCAATTATAGTACTGTAACAACTTTATTGGTACCACAAATCTTTATAAGGAAAAGGGTCAAAAATGCCTTTAAACTATGTGAAGGAACAAAAATGCCCTCCATTTATAGTTTGGCTCAAAAATATCCTTACCATCAATACTTTGGTTCAAAAATACCCTCCGTTTGTATTTTTGTCCAAAAATGCCCTTGCCGTCAATATTTGGTCCAAAATGCCCTTATTGTTATTTAATGGGTCAAAAATGCTCATTTTGCAAATAAATATATTATTATTTTCTTTTTAATACATCTTTTTCTAATAATGTTTTTTTTAAAATTAACAAATGTTTATCTTACTTCAATTCAGAAAAAATAAAAAATGAAAATATTTCTTATTTTATTATCATTATTTTTTATCGTTATATAAATATAAATTAATAATGGATATACTATAATCTTATATATATATATATATATGACATATATTATCTGTCGAAAGGGTATATGAAGTTATTCTATTTTAATTGATAAAATGAGATTAAGAAGAAAAAAATATTTCCTACATTTTTATTTGTTAAAGTGATTTTAAAAGAAAGAAAACAAGAAAAGTTTTCTTTAATAGTATTTTTATAAGGAAGAATATGTGTTTAAAATGAAAATATAAAATATATTTATTCAGAAAAGGACATTTTTGACCCATTTTGTAACTATAGGGGCAATTTTGGACCAAAGTATTGACTGCAGGGCATTTTTGAGCCAAAATATTGACAGTAAGGACATTTTTGAGCCAAACTATAAACGGAGGACATTTTATTCCTTTCACATAGATTAAGGGCAATTTTGACCCTTTTCCCATCTTTATATAAAAGGAATCCCAATAATGACTACAAAACATAAAAAGTAAATAACTAAAAAACAAACAAACATGTGTATGTGGGTGTGTTTAATGAGAGAGAATATATGATAAACTTAAATACCTAATTACACTCCACATAGAGAGAGAATTCCGGTAAAAAAATTTTAAAAATATTTTGTTATGTATGTAATTTAAAAACTTAGTTTGTAATTAAATATAAGTATATTGATATTTTGTTAATAGAAGTCTTAAGTAGTATACTTTTGTAATTTTTCCAACAAAATATAAGAAAACTTGTCATAAAATTCCATCAAATTCCATAAATAAATTAAAGAGATAAGGAAAAGTTGAATACCGCAAAATCTTGACCGAACCTCGATTAGAACACTCACCAAGTTTTTGTAGGTGGTTTGTGATGATATATGTGTTGTGTTTAAATAAAAAAATAATAAAAAAGAAAAAAAATATGTGAATGTATTGATGAATTTTGAAAGAAAAGTAAACTAAAAATAAAATGGATTCCTCTTTTTTTTCTTCTCCTGCGTGCATTGTAGTGTTGTGTGTGTATTGTTTCTTCTTTTTCTTTTTATGTTCCGTCCATATCAGTGTGTTCTCTGTGAGTATATAGGAGTGTGTAGAGGGGTTGAGGGTAGTGGTGAAGTGGGGTCGTGTGGAGTGTAGTTGCTGATGTATGGTAGGAAATGGGGAGGGAGGTGGGGTAGTGTAGGTTAGTAATTATTTTTATTTAAATTATATATAGAATATAAAAATATTAACTCGTTATCTTGAACTAATAAAATATAAGAAGATTTAAATAATTAATTTAAAAATGTAATTAAGAAATACTAGCTTATTTATTAAAATTAAAATTAAAATTAAAATTAAAATTAAAAGAAAACATGTATTTTTTGTAGTTTTCAAATCTTTTAAAATAAACATACTAAAATAAGACAAAATCAAAATATATAACTTGACATAAAAGAAATATTTTAGGAATACAAATAGTATAAAATTTTATGTTCGGTCAAAAATTTCGTATCTATATACCCTATCAGATTTATTCATTTTTAGTAATTAAATAGGGGTCTGAACTGATTTAGTTCACTTTACACAAATCCTAATTCACGCTAGGGTTTTAGAAAAGAGTTCAAGAAGAGAAAATAGGAGAAAAGATCAAGGTGTTCGTCGAGGTTCTCAAGTTTTATTGCGGATTTTTTCCATGGGTTTGATCCCTAAGAGGTATGTAAGTTAACATTGTAATGACCGGGTTCCGTCGTTATAGAAAAGCCAACGACGGAAAATTTTGGGCCGGAAAACTTTTTTCGTAGTATTTGGATTTTTCCAACCTAGTCCAGATTTGGACGCAATCGGAGTCATTAAGGTGTAGGGAAATCTGGTAACAATCGGATGAAATAATTATGATTTTGATTACATGAGTAGTTAGATAACTTGTTAAGGAATCCGTATGACTTTACGGAATTGAATTTGGGCGAGTAGAACTCCCAGAATCGATCTTAGCGTGAAGGGTATTTTCTGAGCGTCGTTGGTTAGAGGTGTGTTGTGAAATGGGGATTTTAAAATTATTAAAATAGCTCATTGGTTTGTGCAAGCCGCTTTGGCGCTGGGTTTTTCCGCTCTAGCGGGGCCGTTGAAGCGGGATAAGGGCCGCTGAAGCGGGATAAGGGCCGCTGTGGCGGGCTCGACGTGATTTAAGGTCGTTAATAATTCCCTAAACGACTTATTTTGCACTTTTTGACTTTTGGATCTAAGGAACGAACTCCAGGCGAGTCCTACTCATTTTTCACCATTCTTGAGGCTAAAGGTAAGCTTTTCACTCCCCGAAACCATTTTTCGATTCGTAGAACGTAATAGAATGGGTAATTAATGATGGAAGAAGGTTTTGATCTAGATTCTATGGTGGAAACAACCCTAATTGGGATAATTGAGATCATGGGTTTGATCTAGGGTTCATAGAATTGTTAGTAATCTGGGTAATTAGTGATTGTTTATTGATTCCCGTATTATATTGATTGTTTGTAGACCAAGAACAAGCAGAACGAATCTGGAAAGGGAAGGATCAAGTTTCTTAGGGTTTCAAGCTTGTTTCGAGGTAGGCGATGGTTGTGATTCTATGATTGTGTGATGTATTCTTGTTCTTGCTTCATTATGATACTTGTATGTATATGAATGTTTCATTATTGATCACATTTGTTGTAAATGAGATAGAAGACTGATGAATGCCATGAATCATGACTTAAATGTATGATCTTGAGAATATACTTGTGATTGTGATTGTGTTGAATGGATTGGCTGCCACGTTCCGACATAACTAACTTGGATCGGTTGCCACGTTCCGGCATAACTATGGGATCAGTTGCCACGCTCCGGCATAATTATTGGATCAGGTACCACGTTTCGGTATGCTAACTGTTTGGGTTTGTGTTCCATGAGAGGACCAATGATTTGATATGATTGTGTATCTTGAGTAATGTGAAGTTGTTCGGTGTTCGTAAATGTTGATAATTTTGTATATGTTTGATATATGAATGTGTTATAATGTTGTAATGACTTGCTTATGTTACACTTAGTGGGATAGCCGTGTGATCCTACCAGTACACTATGGTTGTGTACTGATACTACACTTGCTCTTATTTTTGTTGAGTACATGACATCTTCAAGCAGCTATTGACAGACCTCGCTTAGGAGATCAGTGATCGTTCGAATTCAAGGGTGAGCCAATTCTTCCGGGCTGCCAGGGGTTGTCTTTCATCCATGTCCATCATTTTCAGACTTAAACTATGTTCTAGTTAGTTGATTAGTTCATTAGATTGGGGTTGCTTCCCTTCTTATTTAAACTAGTTGAACTTTAGATGATTTGGTACATTGACTTTCAGGTTCTAGGCTATTTCTTCTGCATTGTTTAGTTCTTGTTAGACTTTTGTTGGAGTTTATGAGAACTCCCTATTTATTTCCTTAGTATTTAACTTGCTTCCGTAACTTAAATGCCTTAGTTTTTAGATTAGTTGCTTGGTTTGGGTTGTAGAAGTGGTTCTCCCACCAGAGAGTTATTGTGGGTGCCAAGCACGATGGTCGGGGTCGTGAAAAAGTTGGTATCAGAACCTAGGTTCGTTGATCTCGATGTACCAAAATGAGTCTAGTAGAGTCTCGCGGAACGGTACGGGGACGCCTTTACTTTTCTTTGAGAGACTATAGGACTTTAGGAAATCTCTCTATTTTCTCTTGTCTCCTTTCGTGCTATAACTTGATTCCAATTGGTATCTATCGATTCGAATTGGTATCTAATCTCTTTCACTCTTCTGTCCACAGATGGTTAACACTAGGTATGACAACGTCAGTCCCGTAGCTCTCGTCAATGCTCTAGCTGAGGAATCTGCAGCGAGAGGTCGCAGTCGAGGTAGGGGTAGATGAAGAGCTAGGGGTAGAGGTCGAGGAATTGTCGCGCCTGCTGGGAATGAGGTACCGGTTGAGAATGCCCCTGTGAATGAGAACCCTCCGGTGCATCGTGAAGAGTTAGAAGAGGATATTGAGGTTGATAATGTTGAGGAGGTTGGACAAGAGAAATAGGTGCAGGCTAAGACTACCAATGTTCCTCCCATAGACCTAGTGTTAGCTCGATAGACCATGTCATTCATGAAAAGGTTGGTTGGTTCAGGAGTGCTTCATTCTGTTCAAGCAACTTAAGCTCCCGCTAATCCCCCTGTTGCTAGCACTGCGCCCAAGATGGGTGGAACGAGAGGTAATGATGCTTTATTCCATCCTTTGTTGGAATCTGTTATGACTGGTAATGAGCATGACATGTTGACTAAGTTTTTGAAGCTTAAGCCTCATGTGTTTCTTGGTTCTGGGAATGAATATGCTTATGAGAGGCTTCATAAGTTGGGAATTGTCCATCAACATGGGGTTGAGTTTGTATCCTTTCAACTT